CGCCGAGTTGAGCCGCTTGATCACCTGGTGTCCGACATGTGCGGATCGGGGAGGGCAAAGAGGCATGGGGTAGACGTGAATCACTTACTGAGTCGCGTGCACGACGTTGCTGTCGCCTCGCGTGGGTCTGGTGGCGCTATTGCAGTGGCGGTACCTCTTCCATGACTGCGACCCTTGCATAATACGCATATAGCCACTAGTACATATGCATATACTCACGCGTCGTCATCCTCCTCGAACCTGCTCCTGTACGGGCTGATCTGCGTAGCCCAGCATCAGCCTCCGGGATCCTTGAGGCATCTAACGCCGTCGTATTCGATGGGGTTGCGGATGACGTGACTGACTGCTCTTTGCTGGTGACTAGGATTGCATTGTCGGTGAAGGTCGAGCGGTTGCAGGCAGTACGAGCAAGGGATGATGGCAGAGAGAGACCGGAGATAACGGAGGCAGCGCGTGGTGGCAGAAGAGAGAGAAGAAGTGGATGGGGAGATGAGTCTGCGCAGCCGCTTTTTGTGGGGGAGGGGCGTGGGCGTCTGATTGGGAGCTTGCCTAAACACTGCAAAGAAAGTATTCTTTCCCCGGATAGCAAAGAATAAGAGATCGAATTATTGAAAGTAAGGAATTTATTGAGCCCAAAACTTTGCCTGTAACACCCTTACACTTCCTATGAAAGGCCTACAAGCAACTCCCACTTGCCTAAATGAGACTTTCCTCAAATATTATTTACTCCAACAATGTGAATTATCTGACCTCGTGAAACTGAATGATACTAACATTTCCGAGGGATATTGGTCAGGAGGAAAGGATGCTCCCGTTGCAGTGAAAACGCGACACGTTGCGCGCTTGCATGATCACATGAGGGCATTTTCAGCAACAGGATATCCATAACAAAGCTATGCATTGATATATCTAGCTCTATATACTACAGAGGCACCCGTCGTTTCATTACAGGACACCGCACTGTCCGATGGTATAATACAGAGGCACGTCTGGTAGACCGTGCCCGATCAGGCAATATAGACGCCCGGTACTCGGACCGGGACCTGCCACGCCCTACACAGGACGCATTACGCGTATTGCCCTATCGTCAACTTCCCCGTTTGCTGATGCTGGTCCTCTGGCTCAACCGATATGTACCACTACTCCTGGTCACCTACATACCCATGTACCAGTTGCCACTCCCTCCTTCTTCCCACTCCCACCCCCATGTGCACCTTGATGCTGATCATTCTGGGTGCCCTAGCTTCTCTGATCTCTTGGCGCATCAATGTTTTAGCCTCGCTCGAGTACAACGATTCTGACGCGCTGTTGCAGCTCAGTATGCAAGGTACGTCTAGGCTGTCATCCGCACTTCACTCTGCAGGAGCTTTCGAGCCAGGCTTGGCTGTGGGGATAATCAAGAACATCGCGCTCGCTCACGTGTCACAAGCCAGCGGTGAGGGCACGAGTTTTCAGTGGCTCCATACAGTGCGTTGCGTGGGACTCTTCGCGTGAATCATACTGTAGCATAGAGGCAAACGACCTCCACGGGCGTATCATAGAGCTTGTACGAGTATTGTCTGTGTTAATGATATTATTTTGATTACATATGCTGATTTGAGTGTGAGGACACCTGGTTCGGCAACGAGCTGTCACCTGTTAACTTTCCGGCTGGGTAAATATAGGTTCATGTCATTGGCTCATTATCTTACAGGCTATCCTCAATCTGATGGCCAATTACCGAGGAGCGTCCTACTAGGATGCTCCAATATAGATATTTATCCAGGAAGGGGGTCGCATTACAAGCAAATGCGTCAATGGTAAGTAAATTTGGCTGTTTGTATTAACTGGGAGCACGCTTATAACCTCGGCCCTACTACTGGGCCTATACAGGCTAATTCGCGAACTATAGGGCGAGGTACGCGCGTACAGGTGTGACCCCCGGTTTCGTGATGTGGTTGCAACACGAATACATCGATCTGCTGGGCTACACTGACCACTGAATGCAGGAGACCCTCGCCTCTGCTATACAAGGCATCCCCCCGCGGGTTCTCCGTCTCATCGTGATGTACACCATGCCCGAAGGGCTAGACATCGCCGCATTCGCTGTGAAGCTCATTAGCGAGATGTGTACGCTACAGGAGGTTACGTTCAGATCCTCCGCCCCAGGATACCCGATGTACCAAGCCTTGCAGATGGTCACAACTTCCGGTCGGGATGGACAGGATAGCTGCTGCGTCGTCCCCGCTCAAACGAAAGGCATGCCTTGAGATGCGTTACGAATGTATGACGAGCTTCCTGAGAGACTGAGGGGATCCCTCACGGTACTGCTCTACTTACTTGCATGTATCACGGCCTCAACATCCTTCGCAAGGGATGATGTCGTGTTCCGGTATTGTAACTGCTGTCAAGGATATATTCGTCACGATCTCAAGTGACTGAGAACTATTGGCCGAGAGGCTTCATGTAGATACTCATCTAGGGCGAGGAGCTCTTCTCTTTCGCCGCCCCGAGTGTCGGAAAGGCACTTAATTTCTGACCATACCGTGAAGCAGTCAGCAGTCATTGATGATAAAGCGAACATTCGCAGCTTCCAAGTTGTCACTGAACTCTTCATGGAGTACTCGTACATGCGAAGCCCCTTGGCAACTGCCAACAATAACCCGAGAAACGTTTATCCTACCCACCCGGCCGTAAAATCTCCCAGCCCAGTCACCCCTCGACCTTTAAAGGCTCCACAGAGACCGAGACTGAGGCATGGGGCTCGCATTGAGCCTCAGCCTTCATAGCACTCTCTCTGATAGTCTCGGAGGCGTCTCCGTCCACCTCATCCACTTCGTCGTCGTCATACTCAAGGGTGGATCCAAGCGAGCCAACGACGCGTTCGAAGACCAGGTCCGTGTCTCCATTAGGACGGGAGAATATGCTCGAGTCCATGTGCGTGGCACGGCGGTTGGCACGCTGCAGGTTGATGAGGAAACGCGAGACGAAGATACCTGTCAGCCTGGTAGGGAAGGAACACATTGGTCGTTAGCAATCGATCACCGACTGGAGCGTGTAGGCTAGGCTGCAAAGGGAGGGTCTTACGGCTCCATGAAGTATTGCACGTAGCTCGTCGGTTGGAAGGGCGTGGCGAGCTGGATAAGAGGTCAGCCTCTCGAGCCAAGCGTGTCCGGTTTGCGCTAGACTTTGACTCACCGACAGCAGGGTCAATACGAGGTGCAGGGTGCCGAGGACGAGGAAGCATCTGGGAGAAGAGGAGATTCCGGGTCGGCAACGAATCTTCGGTAGCCCACTGCTCAAAACGACGCTCACAAGAAGTACGCGGTACCTACGACAGGGTCATCAAGGCGTCAGTGCCAATCCATTCCGCCTTCACCAAGGAAGCACTACCCACCATCCCGCAAGAGAATGTACGCCAGACCGTGTTTCCCGCCCATTCCCCTAGACAGCTTGAGCCAGGTGACGAGGATGACGAGACCGTCCGCCGCTATCGAACACGCCTGACCAGCGATTGTAGCTTGCCGCATGCCGCGTGCCGAACAAGTCAATACTGCTATCCTCTGGCTTCTATGATGTTGATAGCATACATACCCCTGCAAAAACCGGGGTGTCATCCTTCACTGATACGGAATATGTAGGGAAGGGGATACGCACGCTTTGTATATATGGTAAGACTCATGATCGAAGGCAACGCAACCGACGCCAGCGATGTACATCGCGCTGTAACCATAGTGGAACGCGATCTGTAATGCAAGTCGTAGTTCGCATAAGCCAGAGGATATCAGCTGCATAGCGGTCGCGGGCCCGGGTACTCACGAACTCCAACGCAAACGGCACGACATGGAGGCAGAATATAAAGGCGGCGAGGGGCCAACTCCTGCTCACGCCGAGCGCGCGCAAACCAGCGGCCGCTGCAAAGTAGGAAGAGTGGGAGAGTGAGACGCCTGATCATGTCCGTGCAACGTTGGACGGAGACTGACCTGCCGAGAACACTAGAACTATGGTGCACTTTCCGCCGGATTCCGCCGGAATCCGCCGGAATTCCGGCGGATAATGCGGCCCGGCTGATAAGATAAGACAAGTAAGAAACGTCTTAGTTGCCAGCTAGTTACTCCAGTGTTGTCGGCCTCCAGCCAGAAACTCTCTCCCTCCTAAGTCCAAAGGGGCTTCACCGGTTCTTCTATGCCTAACTACATAAATTAACCGGTTCCTTTATTTCTATGTTGAGTTCTGGCATAACTTCCACTCTTCTCACTCTCAACTTTGTTCGATGTGTGGGACCGCTGCAGCGCTTCACCGTTCCGCTACAGCGCTTCATACAATATATGGAGTGGTTCCACTAAACCGCTGAACCGCTTATATCTGTCTTACCCCTGCCCACTGAAGCGGTTAACCGAAACCCTTTAAGTGGTTCTACTATTTGCACATAGGCCAATTCCGCTTAAGTGGTTCTTCAATTTTCTCGAGTTCCACTTAAGTGTTTCCACTATTTGAATGTTGACCATTTCCACTTAAGTGGTTCCACTGTTTGCATGTCGGCCAAATCCGCATAAGCAGTTCCTCGAGATTTTCGCTTAAATTAGTGTCTGTGATACTAGTGCCTTCAATTGGACCCTTCTCACAGTGGTCGCGCTATACAATCATTACAAGCGGCAGCTGCTTTGAAGGAAATGCGGACAATTTCATTGGGACACGCGCCACGTGATCACTAGGGATCAGAGAAGTCAAGGTTGGTTATCAAGACGTTAATTATGCTTTAACTGGCCCCCAAGGAGTGGGTTATGTTCTTTCGTAGAACCACTTAAGCGATTATGCGCTGCTTTTAAGCATAATTCACTAGGGTTTCAGAGTATAGTATAACCACTGAAGCGCTTCAGGCTTAAGGGTGAAGCGGTTATTTATTTCAGTAGAGCGATTTACCATAAGTCGTAGTTCAGCTTGAGCAGGCTCCCCACGTGACGCGAAACAGCGGAAGCGTTGAACCATATAATCAATTGCATGAACCGTTGAAGTGTATTGGGACCAACAAGAGTGCGGAGGTTGGTTTTGGCGAATTGTTATGAGGGATAACAAACGGATAAGAAATTTAGTTACTCGTGATTGACGCCTGCTTCCGCCGGATTCCGGCGGATTCCGCCGGAAGGTGCACCATAGCTCAGACCATCAGGACCTGCCCAGGGGAGGTACTGGATCACCGACATAACCAGAGAGGACTGCGCGAAAGGGACGCAGCTACCGAGACGAGACGAAACGACACCGTAAGCGTGAAGGGTTCATAGCACGGATCATCGTCGACCCGTTCCTACCTCTGCAGTCAGCGATGAGTAGTGAGTATACATCGAAGGGAATGGTAAACCATGGGGTCTACGTACTTGCGCACCGAGCACAGCGAGGGATCCGATGATGTTGTAGATGTACCACCCAAGGGAGAAGTACCGGTTCGCGAGGAAGAGCGCCGTTGCCCCCGTCCAGCGTGCCTTCCAGAAGAATTCGACTTCCTCGTACCCGGTGATGAGGCATTCGTAGATGAACAACACTGCGAAAGGTATCGTCAATACCTAATACCACTTGGAATAGACGTTGGATAGACACTGAGATCCAAGACGAACCTCCGGCGGCGAGCTGACAATATCCATAGACGATGCTGTGGCGAAAGATGTCAGTACAGGTGTGGAATAGACCGGCTTCCGACTCGGGGGTACGTACTTGGCGGCGAACTCAGCGACTAACTCGGCGTTCATGTCCTGCGACGACATCGTGAACTCCTGTTAGGCCAAGTAAGCGAGAGGATGTGCGGGGCGGTGGTGCACGGCCCCTCTAATGACTTGGTATTATATCCCTCGACCGAAGGTTTCGATTGCGTTGGTCACGAAGGCGCCTGGGTGCAGTAAAATCAAGGATACAACGTCTAGAGTGGACTCACGTCGAACCGGCCTACATGGTTTGACACATCCCGCAGTGGATCCCTCCAGTTAGGAGTCAGCTGCGGACGTTTTATCCTATGTCTTGAAGTGGTTGTGTCTTCCGGAACGACGACGAGAGCAGGACGTGCGATAACACTTTCCTGTTATGGCAGAAAGAACAAACCTCCCTATGCTGCCGTGGCTCGGCAGAAGGTGCCCGGCCGTCGTTTGGGCGGAAAGAACCTCTGCCGTTGCATTTGCAGAAGATAGAAGATGGAACGCCCGCGCGGAGGCTATGTTCAGGTAAGCGTTCGCGATCGGCGGGATGCACGCGCGGATGTGTCCGGATCCGCTGCGGTCTGTCTCGAAAGTTAACTCTTCCTCTTCTCCAGCAGCCAGCGCATACTGCAGATTCGTGCGGATTGGCCCAATTGCAGCGCTGACCGTCGACCGCATACTGTATCACGTTTTATGTCGATCTGAAGGCAACCTGAAGGACTCTAATTATTGCGCAGGATCCGGAGTCCGTAATCCCCGAGAAACGACCATCCAGCCGGACATCACCCCACCACATTCTACTTGCTGCCATCGGTCGACCCTTCTATCAAGCTGTCACCTGTACTTCCCGTGAACTCCGAGTCCTCCGAATCCTCCACTCCGAGCGAGGACCCTAGCGAGCCCACGGCGCGCGCGAAGACGAGCGAGGCTCCGTGCGCTTCGGAGTGGATGCTTGACTGGAGGTCCAGCGCCTTGCGGTTCGCTGCTTGCAGGTGGAGGAGAAACCGCCCGACGAGGATGCCTGTCAATCTGCGTGCGATGTACATGCGCATGTGAGTCGGTCTGTTCGGTAGGAGTGGGGCTCCTAGGCCCAGGGAAGGAGGATACGCACGGCTCTGTGAAGTCCGTCACGAGGCTAGAGTTTTCTAGAGGCTCGTCGAGCTATAGGACGAGTATGCGTCAATGTCAATGATATTTGCGAAGGCTCATAACGGCACAGCCTTACCGTGGACAGCTCAGTGAGGGCCAAGTGCAGCGCGTTGAGGACGGCTATACATCTACGTACGTATGGAGGCTCCGTCAGCCTTGTCTCGCACTGCGCTTGGAGGGCGACGTGACTCACATGAAGTAGATGATGCCTGAATGCACAGATGCATACCCAGCGTCAGCGCTTTCCAGACTCGCAGGACAGAAATTCAGAACGCGCGCGAGCACATACCGTCACGCCGAAGGACGTGTGCAAACGTCAACTTGCTCCGCCCGATGTTGGGGCCATGGAGCCTCCGCCAAGTGATAGTAATGACCATGATATCGGCGACGATCAAGCACGACCGGGAGATCACTGTCACTATAGTTAATACAAACACAGTGCATCAGTGGTCCGCTACGATCTCTCTGTCCGAGGTCGACGTACACCTGGCAAACGATTCAGGATTACGAGGAAGGCTGTCAACATACACAGCAGCTCACTCACGTCGGCATCAGCCATGGAGGCATGTCGTACGTGCCCACGCAGTCGTATACGGGTATCACCACTCCTCCAAGGTTGAAGTGAAACTGAGCCTACGGATAATCGTGAGCTGAAGCCAACTACCGTCTATTTGGCCATGAGAAACCGCTTGCGCGCACGTACCATATTGACTCCGACGGGCAGGCACGAGAGGAGAAAGATGAGAGTCGCAAGAGGCCAGCTCTGGCTCAATGCCAACGCACGAAGAGCGGAGAACGCTAACCGCGTGTCAGTTCGTAGGGTTAGTCGCACCGAACAATCGACTTGCTCACCCGCCCATGGCAAGTACTGCATGACAGAGATTACCCGAACGAACTTGATGCTTGCATCGCAACTGGAATAATCCGCTTGAGCCCCATGCCAGTGTAGGGGTAAACGCAACATACCTCTAGAGATAGAATGCTCTGTCAGTCTCCAATAAGTTCTGATTACACGGTGCTGGGATGACGTACTGCTTGTGATATCGCGACAAACGACGTGGCGAGAATGTACAAGGAATAGAACCCGACGATGTATCTGTTCAGCAGGTACAGGACGGTTGCGCCCGTCCACTTCGCGAACCAGAACAGCTCCACCTCGCCCCCAATTGTGATGATGCATTCGTACAGGAAGACGACTGCGTCGGGGCAGAAAGAAGTTGCGTTCTGTCAACGCACTCTTCGATAAAGGATGGCAGTCTCACGTGTACTCACCCGAAGCCACGATCCCGACATAGTTCGACAGACGGCTGCAGAAGGGCGTGAGCGGTAAGTTCAATTTCACAGAATTTTATGCTTGCGGAAGCGCGCACAGGTCACTGTACTCGGCGATGAGAGTAGCGGCATCATCCATGGACGACATTTGTGGTGGCACTGACGGGTGGAGGACTCAGAACTCGGGGCAGGGTGTGCTGTCGACTGTACTCTTATAGCGGGAGCATTGCTCGGCTCCCGGGGTGCAGACGTAGCCTAACTGAATAAGAAGGCACACTTCTCTGTCATGGCTCGAAGTTCGAGGAGAATTAGCACCCGAGTAATCAGCCTGTGATAAGGATCGTTACGGCTTGGACCACCAGCACCGGAATCTCGCATACTCGGTCCTCGCGGCCAGAGGTCAAGACCGCATAGCGATATGAAGATAGGCGCAAGACGTCGTCATCGTCCTTGAGGCCTAGGCGAGACTTGAGAGGAATCGAACCCTGCGTGCCTCGTATTGCACCAGACAGTACATCCTATGGAACTGGCGCGTTACATCAGCTGCTGGGCTCTCGGAGCGTGGGAGGTGCATTCCCTGGGTACCTCAACCGTGAACTTCGGCGGCACCAAGTAGGCCCGTCCGGGCGGCAGCAGGAAGATGCGTTCCAATTGCGACGGCGATCTGGAGAGCAGTTGGGCAGCTGAACGTCCTTCGTACTACCAAACGGTTCACAACCGAGAGTCACGGCCAACACATATAGAACACGACCGCCCTGAAGATTAGCTTTCGCGAACCGCGGATGAGCATATCGATGTTCCGAACATGAGTCTGGACGTGGACTTACCCGACTGACAGCGTCACGCGATCTTCCGTCAGACGAGGCTGACACACGAGAGCAAGAGCCACCCTGCTGCCCACGCCGTCGCAGGTACCTAGGATTCCGTTCTGGGGGATGAACAGTCTTCACCGTCGGAAGCTACGAAGAACCACGCGGGACGAGCTGGCAGTAAGGGACGTGATGAACGCTTCGCTGACGGGCGGCGCGGAGGGAGAGGAGCGTATCAGCAGGCGGAGTACACGTAGATGTCCGATCGTCCAGAGGATATCCTCCATAAGGCCGACGCAGATCAAGGGTCGTTTCGCCATGAGCAAGCCCAGGGGCATTGGACTCCTTGCGTGAGCAGCAGAAGACGGCAATGGTGCGGTGCAGCGTCAGATCGTAGAGTATCTTGCCAAATCGGGCCACCGACGGGCAATTCGTGGCGAGAGCGGAGAAAAGTCAACGTTAAACCGGACTATAGGCCGCACGGGGCAGCGCGAGCGTAAGGCGGTGTTCGACAGAGAGGGCGGGTAGACTACTATGAGCGATCCGCCGAGGAGACGTGCCCAGAGTTGCCTGCAAGCAAATCTTCGTCCATTAACGTTGCTGGATGGCCGAAAGCATGCGTCCAAAGAGAATCCTCGGCGCGTGCTTCTGCAACCGTCAAACTCCGAGGCTTTCGTTACGGTAACCGAGTCGCATCTACGCAGGCACCATCAGCATTGAGTAGAGAGGGTTAGAGTTCGGCCTCCGCACCTTCTCGCTGATGTGTAGCAGTGCTTGCGTCACCCATAATAGACAGAGGAAGAGCGATGCGATGATGAAGCGAGTACGCTCGCCGCCGGAAACATCAACATCACGTTGCGGACGTCCGATATCGTTGCATCGCCAGAGAATCCAGCATCCGGGGATCTTCAAAAACTTTCAAAGTTTGGCAGAGAAGGGTCGAGTGACAGATGCAACTCTGGATCTGAGGCTGTGAGCTGCCAAGGCGGCCCGAACGCGGTGTTGACTCAAGGATAGCATGGATAGATAATGGCAAAATAGCCAGCACTTCACAAGCCGGGGAAGAGGTCAGAGGTCGTCGCACCGCTACCTTGTGGTATTCAACACATTCACTGGTTATCTGCAAGAGGCGTAATTCGTCAGCCAAAGGCCAGTGCACATATCGACGAAGTGACCCTACAGCCCGGATACAGCACCCAGGCCGAGAGGAGGGATGACCAGCATTCAAGCTTGCACGACCACAGACGCTACTTGCTTCCTGCCTCGAGTGTGGAATTTCGAGATTCCAACTCTATGCGCGAAGCGAGAGCGCGAACTGCCCAGCCGTGCGCAAAACGCCTCTCCCAACCTCACACGTCCACAACGCGACATCCAGCCATTCAAGCTCCCAACAACGCAGCCCGTTGGAGTGAGGACGGCGAAAGCACCTGGTGGTCCTCCAGTCGATCCGTCAAAACGAAAGACAACACTTACCTTGGGGTCGGCGCGATCTTTCTGCCAGCGAGCAGCTCCAAACACGCGCTCCGCGCGAGCTCCGGTATAGCAGGCAGGCCTAGGGTCCAGCGACAGTACGATAGTCTATGATACGCCATAACAGTGGGCAGAGGACCTTGATCGTGCAGACCGTACCAAGCAGCCGCCAGCGCACACCCTATATGTCCGTGGATCTTCTCCGTACTCCGCTCCCCGCGGTGGGTTCGGCGACGACGGATACCATTAATCCAAAGAGTCACTTCTTCTTGTCTTCATGCTGGAGACTGTGGAGTACGTGACTGGAATTTGACCCTCAACGCG